ATTACACTTACATTTGAAACACGTCATGTAACTGTTTGAGGGAACTTGAAAAAGTTGTTAAACTTAAAAAAATGTACTCCGGGCTATGATCCACATTATTCAATAACAGTGAGGTCTTTCTGTTTTTCAATATCTAGACAAAACTGCATGAAACTGTTTGTGACCATAGAACCTTAGCCACTATTGCTACACATGATGTATCATCTTTGGTGTTTCCTTTGGAATATGAAGCAGTCAACCCTGCTGACATCCAGCTTGCACCACTGGGACGACACAAAGAAATAACTGCTAAACAGCTTATATCAGATCTCAGAACAGAAGCCATGAAACAGAAACAGAAGACAAAGAGAAATCCATTCAAAACTGGTCTATACAAGTAGGTAGTAACAAAACTTGATCATAATTAGAACAAAACAAATGTTTTTTTTTTTATTAGTTGTTAACAAAATTGATTGCAAAGTCATAAATAAGAACCAGGCTTTTAGCCAGGATTTGAAAAGTGGCCATCCAAAATGTGCTATAGGACCAGCTCAAATGGACAATCTATAAGGCAACATATGAAAAATAAAATGATTTTCTTTAATAAGTGGCCGTGCACAGGATGCCTGGACACCTATATGGCTAAAAGCCTCATAGGAACACTTTGCTCATGATAAGGAAGAAAACAAGCATTTCGTCCTTTACATACTAAAAAATATTGTTTTTTTACCTGCAGCATAGTTAATTAATTTTGATTTAAACTCCACCTTCAACATTTTAAACCCAATAAAACAGCTACATTAGAATTTCCCTGTAGGAACATGCCAGAATTCTGGTCCTTGTAGCTCCTTGTACAATTCTGTTATTTGTATGGTAGGTTTCTGTTATTTTATCCAGAAAACACCAACATGTAATTACTGCATGAATTTTGTTACAGTCAGGTCTCTTTTTTTCTTTTTGTCTTTGTAGGTATTTAAGTCTAGTTGAAGGAGCAGAGCTGTATGCTGTTGTGAGAGACTCTACTAAAGCTGTCGTTTCACTTCCACCAGTAACTAACAGTGAGAGAAGTAAGGTGAGATTACATAAAAACAATTCTTTTAAAAATACCAAACACAAACAAGACACAATGAAGTGGGAAGTACATTATTCACTATTCTCTTTTAAGTGATTCCAATCATTAATTCTCTATATCTCTGTCCATGACAGATCACGGCAAAGAAGCTCAATGTGCTCTTGGAAGTCACATCACCAACTGATCTGGCCACCTGCAAGTCGGTTATGGACAATCTGATATGCAAGATGCTTGAAGCTGGATTATGCTCTAAAGCTGAAGGGGAAACTGCAACAAGTGCTGTGACATGTGCATCATCTCAGGGAAAACTAGAGCTTGTTATTGAGCAAGTTAGAGTAGTCAACAGTGATGGTCAGCTTAAAGTTGTTTATCCTTCACGAGTTGACTTACAGTTAGAGTCGGTCAAAGTCATTCATCAAGAAAAACAATAGAAAACAGTTCTTAAAAAATAAGAATATATTGTGGTGCCTGTACTCCTCAATAAAAATAAAAAGGTTATGTCAAACATTTGTGGCTTTATGTTTGGATCAATGCAGATGCATGCTAATTTTCTTATTTGTGCACTCAATTTACTCCCTCTTTTTGACACATGGCACGTCTGATAACTGTTCAGAAAACTGTTAACTTAACAACATACCTACAAAGGTGACCAAAGATCTTCGCAGCATCAAATTTTCTAAAAGTCTCAAGTGATGGACAAACTGAGTATGCAAAAACCAAATAATGTCAATAGTATTATTCTGGCCTGGTGAGATTACCCTACAAAGTGTTATGTTACACAGGAGGCTTTACTCCAAGGTTAAACCCCTTACCCTTTTGATAGAAAAGGTACCTCTTTCACACATGTATACATGTATGTATCATTACTTTAAGTACATTACGTCCTTTTTCTAAACCCTTCATACGTCACGTTTCATGTGGTGAGAAATAAATTAAATGATGCAGCCATAAGGTGTGTTTGTTCAAAATAATTTAATTAAAGATACTTTTGAAAACCTAAATGACAGGTTTCAAAATTCTTCCATATACCTGAAGCCTGAGAAAGGTACTCCTTTCCCCGTAAAGGCCATTTATAGGGATTACTCTCCACGGCTAATCCCAAAGTCTTGTTTTTATTCATTGGTAACTGATTTGGTGTTCATGGATTTATACTGTGTAAGGAGGGGTAGCCAGCAAAGCAAGCACTCCAGCATTTTGGGCGTGACAAAGGTAACAAAAGGAAAAACAAGCAACAATCTCCAATTTGTTTTTACATGAAATGTAGTAATCCCTTTAAGTGTCCAGCAAAAATTTCGTGCAAACAGATAAATACTCATTTTACTACCTTTGTTTAATTGATTTAGTAATTTTTACGAAATTTTGCCCAGGGTTTTGGGTTAGGGATGAGGAAACACCTGAAATTCTAACTACAGTTGTGAAAATAAATTCATTAAATATAATTGAGTTCCATCCATGCAAACTAGAATCAATAATATAAGCTGGCTTCCAGAGTTACGCCGTCAACTTGTCTCATTTGTCCCCAGTCTTCTTATCCAACCAGTCCCTGACAGCCATGTAACATACAGTAACCAATGAAATGTCGCCAGGTGAATTATTCGCGTGTCACGAGTACTTCCGTTTGGTCGAAGTTTGAAATCCATCTGTCACTCTGCAAACTTACAGCCTTATGGAGAACCGAAAGAGCCTATTCCTAACCTATGTTATTTGGTTGATTTGGGGATGGTTCGGACTACATCACTTGTATCTGGGTCGAGATATTCAAGCTTTCGTCTGGTGGTCAACCATTGGAGGTGTGTTCGGCCTGGGATGGTTTCGCGATCTTTGGCGCATTCCAGAATATGTTGACGACGCCAATGACGAGCCTTACTTCGTGGAGGAACTGAAACGAAAGATAAAGCTCAGAAAAGAGCCAGCTTTCAGTGTGACCAGATTCGCAGGACAAATGCTTGTAGGTTATTTTTACGGTATCTTGGTTCGATTGGCGATACCCGAGGATGCAAGATGGCTTCCGGCTTTGTTGGTGCCGCTTGGAGTTGCGATCGGTGTGTACTTAGTAGGGAATATAGGCCGTGAGAGAGGTGATTTCAAATACCCTTTGGCAGGATCTTTCATTGCTAATATTGCTTTGACATATCTGACCGGAGATGAGGCTGGTGCAATGTACGTTGCTTTAGTTGCTGCAATATGTTTTCAAAACCGCCGCCAGTTCAAAGAGAAACCGCAGAAAAAGACCTTTTGTAAGCGACTGCAATACCTGGCACTCGGCGGTTTGATTGTTTGTTCTCTCTGGGGATCATTCCTCTATTTCAACGCACAAGTCACAACTGAAGACGGAGAAACCGTGAAATTACGCGATGCAGTGAATCACTTCTTTAATTCGCCTGTGTGGTTGGAGTTCAAAGAGGTGTTCTGGGGTTTGTATGAAGAAGGTCAGAAAAACGGCTGGGACAACTTCTACGACGAGTTTGTCAAGGCATTAGACCCAAGAGGAGAAAAGAACGCTTATCGAGTACTTGGGCTAACAGAGGACGCAACACAAGAGGAAATCAAACGAAGATACAAGAAACTTGCTGTAAAGTGGCATCCCGACCGAAATCCAAACAACAAAGACGAGGCCCAAGAGAAATTTATGGAAATTCAAGAAGCTTACGAGATTCTGTCTAAAATCAAAACAATGAGAGCTTCTAGAAACACAAGGACAAGAAGCGATTCTGACGAACATGACCACACGGAATTTTAACCAAGGATAGTTTGTAGACCAAATACATAAATATTTTATAGATCGATGTTGTCGACAATTCTAGCAACAGGTGGGTAAACAGTATGTAATTATTGTTGTGAGAACTGTGATTCCTTTGTCACCTGTGAACTTGTTTTAGAGAAAAAACACTTATGCTTGCGAGAGGTTTTGGACTGTTTTGTTATTTATACATAGATGTATATGGACAATTAAAGTCAATTGAAAAAATCAATTTAGCCACGTGCGGATTGCGTGACAACAAAAGTAGGAAGTAATGGTAGCATGAACAGGAGCTATTGTAGATGCAGACTAGCATACAAGGTGCAGCAATCCCAGAGTAAAAGGGTGGGATTGATACTGATTGCACTTTGGAATATTGCCCTTTTGTTTCTGTTTGTTCCAAAATTTGAAGGCCTGCAGCCCCTAGAAATCTGCAACTATGTACAAAGAACATCCCTTGTTTCGTGATAGACTCTTCTGAGTGCTTGCACCTAATGGAACCTTTCTGGTATGCTAATGCTTGGAAGAGGCTTGATGCTGTTGAGCCAAAATACCAATGGCAAGACCAAACAAGCTTGATATAGTGCCAGAGGGTACTAAAAAGGATACAATTATTGTATCCAATTTGAGCCAAAAATCCATTGACAATGCAGGACTGATTGACTTATGTGTCAGTGGTTCCTAAAAGTATCCAAATCCACCTTATGGACGGTCACTTGAAATTCTGAGGGGAAGGGGTTCTCAAAAACCAAAAATTGAAACTGAAAGTATGAAGCTGAACTGGAATTTCTGGAGTGGTGGGAGGGGATTCAAACCAAACCTGCAAAGTGGACTGGATATTTTCTGGACAGTAACCCACATTAAATCTAGTCCTGACAATAACTTTGTGGCATATCAAGTCAATACTCAAGCTGTGATGTTAATTTTTATCCCCCATATAATAAATTTATTATTTATTAGAACTTGCATCGATAAAGCATCAGGGGATTTGATAATGATTAGAGGATTGACACTGCTTTACCATCTGTAAACATATAATGTAATAAGTTTTTGATGATTCAGTTACAGGTATGTTGGATTCCACAAATAACAGTATTTTGGTATATTTCAATAAAGAAAGTAATTATTTACTAGTGTTACCAAACCAGTCAACAGACCCACACGTACCATTCATGAGCTCAAGTTAAATTTGTGAACAACTCATTGGTTTTGCATATTTGCTGTAATATTGGCATTAGATTCAAAACCGTTCTTTGAAGGATGATAGAACTGACTAAACTAAGCCTAGCAATATGCAGGGTTATTGTCACAGTGTTACTCGATAATGCACCATGGAACTCATTAAATTTCTCAACTACAGTATTTGATTAAAATTTGTAATTAAGAAACAATCTTTACTTAACATAAAAAAAAAATCATTTATCCAAAATGATAGAAAAAATAACCAAAACTAAGTTTAAAATGTCATTGCCATTGTCTTAGGGTCAAGTAAATGTAGCTGCATTAGGCATACTCTAAAACTCAAGTGCATCAATTACATGTAAGTGCCATGTTGTTGTGCGAGGGCAGCTCTAATGATATTTTGTTGCTGTCAAGTGAGGTATTTAGCTAGGGGAGGAGTTTCATCAAGGGCAGCATGTAATCCAGAATCAGTTAAATCTGTTGATCAGTGAGATCCTCTCTTTAGGGATTACCTGTGTGATGGATTACGTCTCAAGCTAAACATCAGTTACATGTAAAAGAGCTAACAAATTCTACATCTAATTTTCTAAGTACACAATGCCATCTCAAACCTAACAGTTAAACAAAACTGTTTTTCTAGTTTTGATCATCAACATAAAGTCTAACAAGTTGTTTTGTTGCACTTGGCAAATGTGTGACTGGGCAGCAACCATGTTGGTTCAAGTATTTGTAGATACAAGGGTAACAGAACACATAACCAGATGATGACAGTGCTGCAGGATTGGTGCGGACCTTCTTACACAGAGGACATTGTGCTGGGTGAGGAGGAAGTTGAGTTCCATGTTGGGCAGGCTGTGGGAAGAGAACAAAGTAGTTTCTTTTCAGTTTAACCACAAGACACTAACCAGTGACAACAATACTTCATAAAAACTCATGATTTTCTTGGCATTGCCTAAAAAACCATCACTTCACCAAACATTTGCAGCCATGACGAGTAGTACGAAATCCCTTCATACTAGAGAGTTCACTGTATTTTCAACTAATCAAAAGACAGACGTCCAAGATTTAGATTAAAAAGTTTTAAGCCAGTGAAGTTGCTTATGTATAGAAATATGCAAATTGTCAAATTGGTTGAAATTGCCTGTTGTCAATACCCATTCCCTCTGTGAGACATGCCTACAGGGAATCATGGGAGTTGTATTCATCAAAACAAACATCCAGTCCAAGATAATGAATACAACTATCATGATTCCCTGCAGGCTTGTCTTGTAAAGGGAATTGGTAATTTATCCACAAAACAACAAGGTTGTGTTAAGGGTGCACAGAACAAGGATATGTGACTTGAAATTTAATGAAAACCCTGGTCAATGTCTAATTTTGTGCCTCAAATCTTGGATGATGCTTTCAAAGCAAATTAAATCAATGGTGCAATGACACATAAGAGGTTTGTTTCATTGAAGTGCCCCACCTCCCNCCCCCCCCTCCTCTACGCAGCACTTCCTCTGGAATTATGGGTATTGTTACCTTAGGTTGAGGTGGTGGAGAAGGAACTGGTAACTGAATCACAGACTGCACTGCACCTTTATTCTCACTTGAATACCACCAATCCACGAATTTGAGAAAGAACACCACAACTGGAAGACCATTGGCAAAAACTGATGCTAATAACTGCGTCACTGAGCTTGGAATTGCCAAAATCCTTTCGGCCACAGTCTTTGCACTCAGTATGTTGGGCAGACTGTTCTGCACGTTGTGCGCAAGAATGTCTTGTCTCGTGAGTCTCTGGAGCGAGACTCCAATAGCATGTAGGAGAGGAGAGTGGACCTCAGAGAATCTGAATATGTACAGTAAGTGATAACATAAGAAGACCGCTTCCCAGGAGAAATGTAAGAATGGGTACACGTAAATAAATGTCCTCTTAAGGTGAAGAAAATAAGAATTCTTTCGTGACGGGTTAGAGGACAAATATCCGCTAACATACTCTTCTTTCACTCTTTCAAACAGTTGATCAAGTTTCAGCTTTGCATATGGTACTCCGACAAGCATGATCACCGATAGATACTTCTGATAACTTGAAAGCTCTCCCTCGTGTTTTTCTGTGTTAAACCTGTTAACTCTTTTGAGACCGTAAAAATGTTCAGATATTGAACCTCCAAAGTTCTTCAAGTAGTAATTCTGAACGATGTAATCTAAACAGAGGTGAAGTTCGTCTCCGAAACGCCAAATCCAGCCCCATCTGCCAGGATTGGAACTTGCTAGCACTTTTAACCCATAAGAAACTGCCGGTCTAAAAACTGATGCCATAGATTCCTCGGCGACTATCTCGAATATTGTAGGGTTGGCATTTGTAGTCCCTTGGTTCAGATGAGCCGCAAACTCCGCCATTTTGAACTTTGGAAGGCTTGGTAGCCAGGCGATCAATCAAGCGTGGTTACAAATGCACAGAGTAACCAGTTTGTTGACAACCAAACTTGAAGAGATTATGATGTGACGATGGACAGAAAACCTGGACATTTGACCAAGTCTGTTCAAGAGATTGCTGGGTCTTTGTTCTGGATAAAGGTAAAGCTGTAAAATAGCGCCAGTTTTACTTCCAAATAAGGGTGCTGTTGAAACCAGTCAAGCTTATTTTTAGCACAAAGGGCCACTAGTTCTTCATAATCCTCTGCTATGAGTTCAGACATTTTTGAGAAAATGTGTTTAACTTTCCCTTTAGGTTGTTGGAATTGGAAATGATGGTGTGGGAAAGACCTGTCTCGTTAAAAACTTTTGTGAGAAAAAAGTAAGTTTCACAGTGTTTTTCTTTTTAGATCTGATCTGCCTACAGGTGACTGTGTATTGTAATTACAGCTGTAGTACTGTTTTCTTCTCTTACAGTTTTCAAAGAGCTATCACCCTACAACAGGAGTTGATTATGGTAGGTTCAGTTTTGTTAGCGTGCAGCAACTGCAGACTGCAGACGGTGACACCAGTTGCAACCAGTAGGCTTGCAAACTTGTTGCAGACATTTTTTGAAAGCATTGTGAGAACTTGCTCTAAAGCTGAGCTGAACATATCTGAACAGGGTAACTGTGTGGTGTTATGTCTGTTGGTCAGCAGTTTAAACTTTATGAGCAGTGACCTGCTCTTTGTCAGACTAAACTTTGCAATTCTTAAATTCTGTTTCAGGTAGTTTGAGTTTGGGTCTTTTGGTTTCCTTGAGTGCCTGAGTACAACTCATGCATTCTATAAAATACCAGAGAAACAAAAACATTACTTACATTGACAAGTTCATACCCTAAGGCCAGGAGTCCTTCACATCTCTTTTATTCTTGAACCCCTCCTCTTCTGCTGTCAGACCCCCTCCTCTTGCATTGGGACTGCAAAATGGTGCCCAACCCTTCTTGTGTCAGCATGTTGGTTGATAATACATCAGATCTGTTCATCACTATCATTACTTGTAGTAAATGTTAGTGTTTACTGCTTTCAGGTTTCAAGTTACACAAAATTAATGGCACTGACTGTAAGTATAACTGTTATAAATTGTCAAACTGAGCCATATTGTGTGTGCAACTGTACAAATGTGCCATATCTTTTTTGAAGTTACTAATATAAATGTTTAATCAATAACGATTTCTTAAAACATGAGCAAGCGAATAGTAACATTAAAAGCCGACGTTTCGGCGTCATTGTGACACCATTCTCAAGGCAAAGTGAATAAATAATGCAAAGATTTGATTCATATACAGTCTTTACGAATTAGCATAATAACTAAGGATCACAAGTTCTTCAAGTGAATACCTTTACGCGAATCGAGTCCATTTGCACATTTAGGGATGGTTTAAGTGCAAACGGACTCAGTTCGCACAAAGGTATTCACTTGAAGAACTTGTGATCCTTTGTTATAATCCTAATTCATAGAGACTGTATATAAATCAAATCTTTGCGTTATTTATTCACTTTGCCTTGAGATTGGTGTCATGATGATGTCGAAATGTCGGCTTTTAACGTTAATATAAATATTATTCAGTCAAATGTTTTTAAGAGTAAGAATTATTAGGATTCAATTAAACTTCTAAAAATCCTTCAACTTTGATTCCTTCAGATATTTTTATGTTATTCCTAGAAGAAAAGAAATTTGTATCAGAGATAGTATGACTGATAAGTAATTTAATGTTACTTTGTTTTCAGATAGGATCAACTTCTGGGATTTTGGTGGTCACACAGATTATGATGAAATAAGAGTGGAATTATATGGACAGACGCAGGTTGGAGTGTTATGCAGACTTCAGCATTATCTGTAATCTCTCATTTCCAAAAGATGTATGAGTAGCTCTGAACCCTGGTTGAGACATCAGATGAATTTGTGCTAACATTAATCATTGTGGCACTTTCTATCTCAGGCTTGTATTCTGGTATTTGATGTCACAAACAAGTTGTCATTTGACTCCCTGGACTACTGGTTACAAGAGTTCACCAGCAATGGTGGGAAACAAGCTGTAATGGCTGTGGTGGCTAATAAGGTGAGAATCATCCATTTCGTCTTTATAAAAAAAACAACATATTGATAACATTAATTGTTTTAGTCTTTCTGATCGTATTTGCATTCAGTTGTCGTCACACAGCAAACTAAAGAACCATTTGATTGATCAAGCCTCATTTTAACAAAGACAATGAGCAAACTGTAGAGCCAAGTGTCTGTATTAGAGAAGAACAGTTTGTGTCAGTTTTGTTATCTTTGGAGACGAGGACCAAGTGACTGCCTACACTAACTCTTTAGAAAATTTAGAAATGGACTATGTTCTTTTGACTTGGCTCTGACACTGCAGCTTAGAGAGTGGAATCTCTGGTGTCAACACCACAACATTTTTCCACCCTCATAATTTTCAAATCATTGTGTTATATTTTCCGTTGCTCTAGACTGATTTGTCCTCCAAAAGAGTTGTGAGCAGTAAAGATGGACAGAGATGGGCTAAGGCACGTGATCTAAGGTTTGTACACCAATATCGCAGAGATCATGAGTTCAAATCCCGTTCAAGCCTCTATTTGTTTTCAGGCTTTGATTTCTCAGCCGTTTAAGTTGTGTATATAGTTGTGATCATCAATCATGTCTTCATATCTTTGTCTGCAGTTCAACTATATGATCTTTCATATATTTACTTATATGACTTCATTGTCACATCAAACTTGATTAAACACGAGAGGTTTTAATAAACCACATACAATTAAAAATAAGTAAATCTGTACATTAGCTGAATTGTCAGTCTGTTGTTTTCATTTTTTTAGGTATTATGAAACATCAGCAAGCACTGGTCAAGGAGTTTATGAGATGTTTAGTGGAGTTGTAGCAGCAGTTGTGGAAGCAAAGCTTGTCAAGGCCAAGCCAGTTATTAATGCAGAACAAAGTTCTAGTAAACAAAAGTGAATTGAATAAGACTCATTCAAACCACTGTTCTAGGATAATATTAACATTTTTACATCTACAGTAGATTATGGTTATAAGGGTCCTTGGTTGGGAGGATGGGGTTGTAGGGGAAAAAATAGACCCAGCAAGCTGAAGGCTCTCCTTGAACTGGGGACCTATTTAGAAGGAGCCAATATTGACCATGATGCTTTTTGCATGTCTGTGACTGTTTTGGTTTACATGGTAGCGAGGTTCCAATTGTTTTTCAATGCTACACAGTGCACAATGCATCCTGGCCAAAACTGGGTCTTCAACAGAGTCATTATTATAATAAGGTGGTCAGCTTTCAAAAAATTAATTAGAAAAATAATTATTTGAGATGGCTACTACTACACAGATCTTGTTTAACAAAACTTTTCAAACTTAATAACTATCTGGTAATGCATAGCTTTCTTTTAATTTCCTTTTATTGTCTTTAAAGACAAAAATGCCATAAGTACATACAAGTATTATAATTTCCATTCCACAGCATTCACTGTTTGTAAAATTGTACTCAGTCACAACAAGTAAATCAAAGAGGTTCAGATAGAATTGCTTAGATTTTATTACCTGCGTTAAATACTTTTTAGTTCTATATGCAAGACGTGATTTGTTATTAATGACTGACACTAAAAATACCGTGTATGCTTTGTTTTCATTATGGATTATGATTATTTATACAGTTTTGCCTAGAAATAATTATATTTGTCAAAATATAAAAATTATCAACAGAAAATTGAGCATCTCTTGAGTTTGTATAGTACAATGATAAACCTCTCTCCCTGTTGCTAAAAGTATAATTATCATTTAGCTCTGTTTTACAGCTGTTGTGCAAGTCCAGTTTTCACTCTGTTTACAATAGTGTGTTGAGGAACTGGGGTGTACAAAACTTGTGGAAATTGAGCCTAGTTCATCATAAGCTAATCCAGTTTTAAAGGAGAATTACGTGAAGTAAAAAAGTGTGGTCAATAATTACATGATGAAAAGGATAGCAGCACAGCCATTTCCTTTCCTTGACAATTCAAAAGAGTGATATATCGTAATGGAAAATTAAACATTTCCTTGTGTTTCAAACAGTTCAAAATCTTGTGTTCAACTTGCCTACATCTCGGATTCGTAGTACCGGTACCTTAAATTCTTCCAGACTAACAAAGTCTACTTGCAGAGGTTTTCTGTTCTCTGATTACTTTACAAACTGTCCATATATGACTGGTGAGGTACACGTCGTCACTCCCTTTGAAAAGTCAAAACATTTTGCTCAAGGTACAGCCAGTACAATAATGGTGTGAAAAACTCCACCAGAGTTCAACTAGAATTTCACACTGTCTTAAAAGCTAAGATGACCCCTTTGTGTCTTCTAGGTCTGCTGCCATCTAAACAAAAAGAAAGAGGCAACATAGTCAGATATTTTTGAATACCTTGTCAAACTGGCCACTTCTTAACCTGTTGATATTTTGGATTTCTCCATATAATTTTACATAATTATATGTAATATTAATAATTAGTTCATTTAACAAACAGATGAATTCCACTTTGCCATGAGTCTGTTCAACAACAGATCACAGATGACATCAAAATGGAGTAAAAAGTTAACAGTGGCACAGAAGGCGATAGCCAAGTGTATCATTGATGTTCTTACCACATTTTGACATCTGTGATCTATTACTGAACAGATAAATGGCAACATGGAATCAACTTAATCTAAAACAAATTAATCCGAATCTAATTACGAAGAAACAAAAAAGATTGTTTAACTTGATGATGCCATCTATGATACATTTGTCCTCCAAATTATGGATCATAAACTTGTAAAAACCAATCCAAATGCAAGAATAATTTGGCTTCTTAAATAAATTTAAATAGGACATATGGACAGCATTTTTCTGCATGACTGTGTAACTTTTCAACAGAATATAATTTCCATGATTATCAAAATAAATGTTGCTGCCCAGAAAGTTCTGAACATTTAAGTACAAACTCCAAGAATCCAGCCTTGTCAAACAAAATCATTGATAATATAGAACTAACTGAAATTATTTAAAATCTTGCCTGTTTCCCAACACATTTGACTAACCAGTTTATGAAGAAGAGTCTTCATCATTGTTTTTTCTCTTTCTCTTTTTTGACCTGGGCTCATCTGCAGCACTACTCTCTGTACGTTTCCTCTTCTTTTTCTTCTTTTTAGTTTTTCTTCTTTGCTACATATCCACAAAAAATTCTTATCAGCGCTGTCAATGACATATTACACGCATCTAACATGGCAAATGATGCAAAACATTTCAAGTATTAGCTGTCACTAAATAAACTCTCTTGGGTAAAACAATATAATTACTTTCTCCTTTTCTACTGTTATGTTTTTGATTGATTATTATTTATTAGCACACATTGCTTATTTTCCCTTTCTCCTTTAGTTTCTCTCTCTTTAAAAACAGTACCACTGACAACTTAAAATTCTTACCTTGTAGTCTTCCTCAGAATCACTGTTTTCAGAAGTTGAAGTAGATGATGAAGAAGAGGAAGGATGCTTAAAACAAAGCAAAGTTAACAAGCTCTATTTAGTTGAGAGGAAATGCATTTTGTTAAAATATATGTAAACATTCCACAACGTATTGTTGAAATAATAGATAAATTAAAAAAAAAACCATCTGAATGGCAAATAAATAAAACTGTAAGTTAGCAATAGTCATTTATGTTCTAATAAAGAATAAAAATAGTGGTTGGGTAAAACAGGTCAGGACTTGGTCACTGTTACATTCTTGGATAAGTCCTTTTACTTTCACAGAACTGATTCCCCAGAAAGAATAGGTATCTAGACTACCAGCAAGAATAGCTCACCCTTCTCTTTTTACGCTTACTTGACTTCTTTTTCTGAAAGAAATATATATATAAATAAATAAAATTATCAAGCGACATAAACATTCTTTTGTCTAGTGAATTCCACAGTAGTAAGCTTTGTTGACCATCAAAGCAAGCCACACAAAAACAACACTAACAAGGTAATTAAAAGAAATATGAGAAGAGAAATCTTTGTGTTAGAGGACAGCTTAGAATACATCAAAACACATGTACATTTACCCCTTTCCTCTTTGTCTTTGAGGAACCTTCTGAGGCACCCAGTACTTTCTCCCTGTTTTTCTTTAGCTCACTTCTAAATTTCTGAGAATTAATATAAAACAATTACTTTTTAATTGTAACCAACAATGATAGTTGGTGAGCATTGTTACAGAAGTCCATGTTTAATTATTTGTAGCAGCTGGTTACCTGGTTTAAATGTTCCTCATATGCAGCTAATGTCTCTGAACCTGTTTTCTTTTTGTTTATCATTTCTTTCACCTCATCCCTTTCCATGGGAAGCAAAAACAAATTAAGAGAAAATTAGTAAACATTCATGCATCTGACCCCGGTTGTTCGAAGGCTGGATAATGCTATCCAGCAGATAAATCACTATCTGGAGGATGAGTGTTAACAAAAACAAACCATGCTATCAACTGGATAGTGATTTTTCCACCTTTCAAACAACCCAGGCCTGATCAATAGGTTAAATGTTAGACCACCCTGAATGGTCACACACTAGGGTCTTATCCATAGACTGAAAAGTTAAAACAATCTTGTACAGCATAATAAACAGTACCACATGAAAGTACTGCTCAATAGCTGTCATTTGAATGGTCACACATCCAGGGTGCATGGGGGATAAAGAGAAGTTAAGAAGCCATAAGAGTTATCACGTTTACACGTCAGCACCAGCAAATAATAATTATTATAAATGTGTATGCTACTATATATACACCAAAAACTCCAATGACACACTGGTATGCCACAAAATTTTATAGGGCCACACTGAAGAACTTGTGCGTAAGCCACTGGGAATGCACCCTGGTCACACACTTAGCTAGAGTTTCATCTGCAATATTACAAGTTAGAACCACATTGTACTGCGTTAAGAGCAGTACCAAATGATAGTTCTGTGTAATATTCTTTATTTGAATGGTAGCGTTATTTTATACTAGGGTTTCTTACTTTATCCAAAGAATTAAAACTAGAAACATAGCATAGAAACAGTATACATTACATGTGTGTCTATGTGAAAGTATTGCTGGATGCAGGGTCAAAGTCAGAATCACATTTGTTATATAGAACACAGGTCTCACCCTGGAAACTAAGTGTAGGTGCGATTCATTCTAGTTTTGAGAAAACCTGTGTGTTTCATAACTAATAAATCACTTACAGTGTTGGTCTATTTCTGTTAAGATAATCCCTTATTGTTGGTCCAGACACGGCAGGTCTATTTGCCCGTGCCATGGCAACAGGATTCAAATATGCCTGAGAAAAAACATTGAATTATTTTAAAAGTGAACATCATCATCATTGTCATCATTATAAGCTCTTGCTGCAAAATGAGATGCATATATAAGGTGTGAAAGTAAAATAATTCTGCCATTTTTTAAGGCTCCTTATAGCTATTACACTGGATAAAATAAAAAAATAAAAAGAAGAGAAATTAGCAGGAATATGAGCCTGTAGGGCTTAGAATACCCACTGTCAAACATCTTAGAGCCATTTGAAGGGAAATGAAATTAGACTAACACGTATACACATCCTAAACTACCTGCAGGTCCGTGATACTATTGTATTAAGTTTTTTTTAACGTCATTTAAGACCTGTGAATAAAGAGTGTAATGTTGTAGCATGTCTGTATAAACAACATTTATAATCTTTTCAGTTTGACATGCACAACAGCTTCATGCAAAGGATGAAAGTTAGATCTCATCATCTTTCCAGTAAAAGGAAATTTGAAAGAGCAATATACAGTTATCCAGTAGCCTAAGCTTGTTATGTACGCTGTGAAACAAATGAGATTAAAACTAATGGTCATCATTTGGCAGCACAGAACATTGATGTATTGACGATGTCTTCTCTCTCATTGGATCGTTGTTTTGAACTACTGAAAATAAAGAAAAACAATTAAACCTTACCACTCGGTTATCTCTTTTCCCCATTTCGTTTCCCTGCAAAGTTTAAAAACCTTATAGGTTTTAGAAATGGTCTAAAATTCCAGAATCATTTCGCTGATTGCATGTGGTTTACCTGTCCACAGGCCAGGACCACAACTACACAGAGCAATTCTTGCTATGGAATGAAACCGCTGGACCAGCGACTATTTTCCAGTCTCTTTCGACCGAGCACTTGGATTCCCGTGAGCACCCACAAGGCTTTGACTAAAGAGATCGTGGTCTTCCGCTATGAGATTGCTTATTTAGTGGTTTTCCACACAGACTACGGATATTCTCTCATTTTTCTAAGGTTTAGCCTTGGGATCAGCCGCGTGGGGATGAGCAAAGAGCTGCGACAAAAATCATCCTCGTCCTTATCGCGTCTCCGCGCGTCTCCTCGTCCTATTCATACCTCTTGGTCGAGGTCCATACTGTAAGTTACGGACCGAGTTTCTTCTCCTTTCGATTTATGGCCCGCGCGCTTCGTGCTTGGGCCATAAATCGGAGGACTTGGCGATAAATCACGAAACATTTTGACAACAAAAAACATCTTTAAATTTTAGCGGGCCGTACAGTAGAATACGGCCTGCTAAATTGACCAATCACAGTGCGCGTAATAACTGATAGATATAATAAATAACAAACGCAAAACAATCTTTAAAAAAACATGTCATATTAAAACGAAAACCCAGGGAAGAGCTCTATCCATCTGTCCACCCATACCCCGGTCCACGGCCCGTACCATGGTGGGTATATGACTTTGTGTGGATCTGTGCCGGTACGTCGGAGGGTTACATTGTAATATAAAATACGTTGATGAACCATGATGGGTATACGACTTTGTGTGGATCTGTGTGTACGTCGGAGGGTTACATTGTAATATAAAATACGTTGATAANAGTAGGGTGCTAGGTTTACGTCCGGTAGGCCATAACAGTCTTGCAAGCAAAACAGACTATACAAGCAAAATCTTTAACCGCATTTCAGACTAAGAAGCAAGAGCAAAATCAAAAAAATGCCTCTTGAGGAGGCACGTACAATACAACTCATAAATATAGGAGAGTAACCCATGGCTCATTGAGTTCGCGAGAAAAAGTTAAATTCATTTATCTCAGCTCACTGGCACTGAGGTTATATTTGGGAAGGTTCGCCACTTCTTTATAATAGACCTGCAAAGGCATGAGCTGATTTTAAAAGCGAGTGTAGATCCATACAGCTAAAGAGTATTTCAACAGATTCCTGATTTGTATTCTGTGCTTGTCTCTGATATTAACTTGGTCTGTTTCGTAGCCGTAAACATCTTCACATGTCCTTCATGTCGCGTGCGCAACAAAGCAATAAATAATTTAAAGATTTTTAGCATAAAGCATCCAATCAAAATTTACGTCAAAGTCAATCTGCGAAACTTTTGTTTACTTCATGGCATCGCGTCCATAAAATGCGATATCAGTGATTCAACGAATACATGAAATTAATTTTCTCTTCAGTCACAAGGTTTCTACCATTATCAGCTGAAAGCTTTAACTTAAAGCATGGTTTTTGGAAACGAATTCCACGAAAATACGAGACGCCGGCAATTCAAGACAAGCCACAGTGTTGAAAGTTTAACATCAGGAAGTAGCGATGGGGAATCCCTTTCACCAAGGTTCTTTCGCGAAAGGAAAAACCCATTAAAAAGGGCAAAATCCTTTCATGAGATTATCTACGAAATGAGCTCAAGTACAAAGAAGTTAGAGGAAGAAACCTCGGGACTTTTGCGCGATATGGTAAGGTTTTTGTTGAGTAAAGGACAACTTTTAGTGCGCCACACACTAGATGTCCTTTAACGAAAACAATGCGGTTTCCTTTGTCAATATGTATTGCTGGATATTGTTAGTCGCGCGCGAGAAGAATGAAAACAAACATTATTTTACGTTGACAAAATTGGCAAACTTCACATAACGCAACAGAGAAATTGGCTTTATTCGACCTAGTGGAAGTTTTAAGTACTGTCGACCGCATAGACTGATGCGTCGGCATAAAATTAAAGTGAAAATTGTTTTACATATTTTAAAGCCGACGTGACTAATTAATACAAAAGTAACTCTTTTGTCGCTGGCAGTGTCGAGTACATGATTCAAATCAGTGAATCGAAGAATTCCTATTCGCGCGGAGCAAATAGAAATTAACTTATTTCTTCACACATCACTTTAGCATCAATATAATCTGGCGGCAAAAGCACTCGAAATTAATGTTTGGAGATTAAATATTCTTTTCAAAATTAAGTTTTAATTTCCACCTGCTTGTTAGTGCAGCCCACTATAATGTTACCCATAGTTCTTCAATCCGGCATATTACGAAAGAGTAATGATTCGTTGTATGGGTTGACTTAGAGTGGCTAAGATGGACGATGTATGTAGAGAACCATGGCCAACTTTATCAAGTTTGTCGTTCGTAATTCGTCTTAATCTTTCAAATTCGTGCCCACCCTTGTTTCTTTTCAGTTTATTGGGGTTTTTTTTGGTTTTTTTTTTCTGATGGTTTTCTACTTAATCCTTATCCTAAACTCACCTGTAGAATCAGCCCATTTTTCTCTTATTGCTTTGGTTGTAAACGTGTTCGAACTCATTTCACACTTCTTTTTTTTACGTTCGTTGGTAGTTTTAGGAAGAACTGTTGTGACACTAGTATATCAAAGCAGTTTCCTCTTCATTCTAGTGATTTTGCATTGATATCTAAAGATAACTGAAATAGATGCTAATCATTATTGAGCCTAAGAGTTCTTATCAATTCCAGAGTGTGCAATCTGACTAGCTCTTCTTTTGATCGTAACCATATAGTGATAAATTCAGAGTTTTTTTCACTGTCCTAGGAAAGTCTACGTCATCAGAACCAAAGCACAGGTAAACGGCTCCAGCGTCTGCAAAAAGTGTCAGGCGCCATGAAGGAACAGCTACAGGCCTTCACTCCTTTGCGGTCAGTAAGTCAACGACATCTCGACAGCATCACAAGCGCCAATGGCTATGGAAAGAGAAACTGTCACTCGTCGGAAAATCTGCAGACTGAAACTTGATGTCCTGCAGACGTCGAGCTTGAGTCAACTCCGGAGTTGAGAGGAGACTTAAGAAGAAAAAAAAGAAGGCAATGCAGTTTCCATTACAAATCATAAGAATCGGTTACGAAATTCAGTTTGACAAGACTTTTGAAATATAACTGCGCAAAGGAAACCAGTCGTAAACATGCCGGTCCCTAAATATAAACGGCTGATAAATATGTAACACTGTAAGTGCACAATAAAGCGACCTGTTTGTACCTCGTAGACTAATCTAACTTCATTCATGTTTTCTAATTTAGTTCAGATACAAATGTATTTTTTCGTGGTCTTCGCTAAGCTCATTTTGTTTTATGGTCTTTATGCCACAAACGTTTCATTCCACTCAGTCACCGATAAACCGAAGGAGCTAACCTCTTTTCGCATTATTACATGCAGCTATGAAACGTTTCAACACACTCGCGTGATAATCATGTGATAATCTTGTGTTAACAGGTGAAATAAATCATAACAATATGTGGATTTCAAAATAGAAAGCTTCTGAAATAGAAGAGAATAAAAAGAAGGTTTCTAAAAGGTTAAGAGTTTGTTGATTCGATCTCCAACCCAGGACCTTCATGGTATCAATGAAGCATCTTGCTTCAGTCGTCTCCCAGAATTCATTTTCGTCACTTGGGTCCGTCGTTATCGGCCAGCGTTAACCAATCCCTTCAACATATTTGGCAAGACCGCGAAACTGCACGGTCTTCAATCTCGTACCTCGTCTTCGTTCCTTACTGTGCATGCTGGCTTGACGAAACGAGCGCTGGTCAAAGGGAACGAAGACGCTGGATACGAGGGTGCCTGGTCTTCAGATCAGGCTTCCTGGTCACTCATAAGTTCCTGGCACCTGCTGCTGACCGAGATGTCTGACTCTAGCGTGCCGTACTATGTCATACTATGCCTTGGTACTATGCCGTGATCTTCATCAGACCAAAACAACCGCACACTTCCTGAATCACTCCAGCGTGAGCGGAACAGTGGGGTCGCTTGACAAGTGACGTATGTACTTGAATAAGTTACGTGGATCCTTGATATTAGTGTATCTTTGCTTATCTCAAGCTTGTTTTTCCGTTTAATAGATGTTCCTTCTAGATAAAATACTAAAGAGGAAAGATCGTGCCATTGTTTTCAGGACAACGCGAATAATGCGCTCTGAACTTTGATTACGTATTGAGCCGAGCACTGGCGCGACACATAGGCAAACTTTATCGGCAGGCCTTTGTAACAAAGAAAAGGTTTGAATCGTGAAATATTGTAACACTAGCCCCTTTGTTATCGTCCTCTGAAGATATTCGGCCATAACGCCTGAGCAATATACATTGTCGGTTCTTCGGCCGCGACATACAAGTTACAGACTATTTGTAAAAACTAAAAATGCATGAAACTTTCTAGACATGTTTTCAAGTGGAACCACAACTTCTAAGGAGCTGTGATTCTTGTAAACAGAAACGGTTATTTTGCTCTAACCCAATTCTTGACCTTTGTTTGCCAAAGCCAAGAGGGAGCTCTTATGGGCAGAAGTGTCTCTTTGCTCCACAGTGCTATTTTGAGACACATTTCTTTAATTGCCAACCGACAGACTAACATTAACAGAAACAAAACAAAAAACAACAGCCGTCTCTGAAAAACAGGAAAACACACCCGATTCATGAGTCAAACTCCCTTTATAGAGCAAGCTTGATATCTCATTCTAAAATTGTTTGTCTTCCGCGTGTGATCAAGTCATAATTTCTCTTTACACAACAGGTTCAGTCGCAACTGACTCAGCTATTTTGCTGGTGTGAACGGAACCGCCAAATTCTCAACCTGACACTAAATTCAAAGCTAGTCAATTTTTATTCGTTGAGCTTGGTGCAGATTTCAATGATGCGTTCACTAACAATATTAAAGAAAAACACTGAATGTGGTTTTGTATTGTCTGTCTAAGTGAATCACATGCTTGCATGCTCGTGACCCTCTCAAGAATATTGCGGTACGTCAAAACTGACAATTAGCATGTGAAAAGTCCAGTAGTGAAAACGAAAAGATAATTATCCCTGCTGGAGCCTTTACACGGCGAGAAATTTTACAGTCGCTTTACTAAATTGTGTTATTGGACTTCCCTCGGGCATAATTGAAGTGTAATTAATCACTGAGTCTCGTGACAGATATACTATTTGATATTTTGCGACAAGCGAGGCGATATATCACGCTGTCAGCACCTGGATTCCTCAGACGAGATTTGGTGATGAAGCGGGGTAAGATTTGCTTTGCATCCTAAAAAACAAATACTTCTCTAAAAGTTCTTTAACTTTAGTCACTTGTCTTGTTTATCACTAATAACACAAGTCTCTATTTCGCTTGTAACATCTCTAAGTTATTTCCCACGCTATGGTATTAAGGAATGACTGTTGTTTTAATTTGATTCTCTATTCAGAGTACAGCGTCGTTCAGGTGGATGACGACTCTGGTTTTCAAGATGACTCGAGCATCGCTTTCAGCGACGAAAGCTATTACTCAGGACAGATGTCCACCGCTAACAAAACTAAAGCTTGGAACTGCTTCACGTCGAAAAAACAGGGAATAAAACTGAAGGAGCAACACGAAACTAATGGCATTTCTGACCGCCCACGGAAAGGAAACTTCCTTCAGCGAGCGACCAAAAAGATATTTGGAAAGACCAAACGAATATTTGGTAGGAAGCCAGAAGAAGGAAAAAAAGGTACCTTCTCTAAGCCTGAGGTAAAACTGAAAGAAAATTATACAGAACCAGTGAATATTATATTACCAGCAGAAAGCTACACCAGTGTCAACGAGGAGCCAGTGTATGATGACAAAGTAAATTTCACTCGGGCAGGTCAGATGAGATGCTCAATTCGGGAATCCCGTGGCCTTGACCCGCGGGAAGCTCTGCGGGTTCGTGAAAGACAGACCATGCTCCGGGTCTTGTTTGATTTCCAAGCTTGTGACGATGATGATATTTCCGTCATGAGAGGGGAACTCGTCAGGGTACTTAGCAAAGATGACAATGACTGGTGGTGGGTCGAGAATGTACATCGGGAACAAGGATTTGTTCCACGAAATTTCCTGTGGCCTTGTGGCTGTTACGGTAGGTTAATAACTTATTTATAACATGCAGCAGCTTTAATTAACTTTGCTATCACGTTCACCTCCACCTCATCTAAAAAACCTGAGCCAGTTTTAAGTCAGTCCTATATATATCTGTGTTCATTTGCTAATGAGTTGAATAAACACCAAAAGAATTCTTACAATATTATCCGGTACTCACTGGCATGGAACTGGTAAAAAGGCCAACGTAACTATTTATTTTTCTTTTTAACTTTACTTGATTACCTGGCCGATAAACTGAGTGTTAGATCGTTTAAAAACGAAGGCTCTTCTACTTCTTCCTTCCTCCATCAGTATGGAACACTTCAATCTCTCTCAGTCACAGCGAAATCTTATCCTAGAAACTGCCCTTGCGCGGGGGGGTAAGGTTTCGGGTTCAATGATTAAAGCTATACAGCTTCGTAAAAAATTACGAAGTCTCTGACTGTTATCTTTTCCGGGCGGGTTAATCATGAGATCTGTGAATAGCTATCGTACTTACTTTCATAGCGTTTGGTCTGTAGTTGTAGTTGATATGGAATCTGTATTAAACTGCTGTGAATTACTGCTCACTGTTTTATAGTCATGCAGCTATAGTTGAGCCAATTTCGAGAGTTATCTCTGAAAGGAAGCGACTTGCCTTTGTCTGGGCCACTGTTTCGTTTTCAATGAAAAGAATTTTGCTTTATCATAATTCACCTTAGCTGAACATATATTCTCATCGATACACATGAGATAACAAGCTAATTAACTTTAAAGGACAATATCTTTGAACTCTTGTTTAGAAAACTAATTTTTTCAAGGGACAATTATAAGATGAATCAGCGGAAATATAATATGAAGTGAAGTTCGTGTGGTGTACAGTGCGTTAAAAGTTTCCTTCCATTGACTGATACGCTAAGCAACAAGATAAACAAATAATTCAGTCGTTGTCACACCTCTTAACAAACGCAATACCAAACATTTTTTTGATTACTACCAACGTTTATTTATCTTATGCTTGCTTTAAAGAATTCCATTAGCGTTGTAATGATAAAGAATACTGATTTGGCGTTCTTATATCACGATTAATGACGGATATATATTTATTATCTCCGACCCGTACGAGAAATTTTTTAAAATGATCGAGAGAATACATTGTGTAACTTGGTTATAATATCAAATCATTCAACACACACTCTGAATTTCCCGCAATTCACAGATCTAGTCTTATAACTATCTTTTCCGAGGGCATATGCTGCATCCTTGGTTAATTAAGGGAGTTTGTTTTAAACAGATTTCGGAATTTCAATAAGTAACGATACAGCCAGAGATTCTCTCTTAATAATGTAGACCTGATATTGTATTTGGGATCATTTCAGGATTGGTTAACTCTTTTCCTGCATCACATAATGGTTTTGTATTGCCCGCGACCATGTTAACGCCACAGTGCTTTTAATTTTTACGCATGTGTCACAAGGATACAGAGGTCGATTGCATAAGCTCACTTTTAGGGTTACATCTCTCCCTCTTAAAGTAAATTCCCACGCAATCATAGAAGAGAGATTAGTTCTGCCGTCACCCTAGAAAAGTTTACAATAAGTTTTTGAAAAATTTATAATATTCCAATTTTGTCATTGATCAGTGAACCAACAAATTTTTTCGCGTAAAGTTCTTAAGTAGCAGAATTTTTTTCTTCTCCACTGCTTCCAAGCCAAATGCAATCCCATATAACATAAAAGGACTGAATCACGTCGTAGTATTGGCATCTGATATTGTTGCTGTTTACAGTATTATCTAGCCGTAATAGCAAGCGTCTGTTTCATAAACATTTTTGAGGAGCATTTTCATTCAAATTCAATTAGAAAAATGACAGTGTTACGCAGAGCAGCAGATGACGCAGTTTTAGGCTGATCATGGCAGATACGTTAGCAAGCTAAATAACGATGTTTTTACTGTGAATTTAATTATTTTCTTGTAGTTTGAAAAATACGCAATGAGAGTGATGATGCATGATCCACAATCACTCTCATTTTGACCAATCAAATCCAAATTCCTAACATGACGTCATGACGTTTCCCGACCACGCCCTCGATTTACGTGCGTTAGTTTGGCTTTCAGTTCTCTTTGGCTCGGCGAATTAATACTTTCATAACGTTATCAAAAAACAAATCAAATGATAAGTCTTTCTTACGAAACCTGCGTATTTATTTTCTCTGATCCACAGTGTGTCAAAAGTTTATATTGGAGAAGGTTTCTAATGCAGGCCCAGTCTTCCACGACCAGCACATAGAACAAGAAAGAAACCAATCAACTCGAGGATATCTTGAGGAAGAGTTCCCCAGCTTTGATGAGCGAACAAGGCTCGTGGGGAATAGAAGATGTACAAGCACGTGGTGCTAATGGACCAGACATTTCTACATATACATTTAAAAAGAAATAATAGTGTGAAGTGACGCCGTGGAAATTTGAAATCTATTTTTATCAAGTTATTTTTAAATGTGGGACTTTTTATACTACTTTATGCTAAATAGGGCCGTAGACGGTTTAAATAATAAAGAATAAATACTTTCATCCCATGAAGTGACAACATACAGGGTTAAGACAAAAAATAGTCTTTATTTAGGGAACCTTCATTTGAGCGTTTAAAATAAGATACATTAGTGACTGTGGAAATGGACACCTCCAGCGGAAAATGTATTGAAATTTAGTCACTTTGTTAAATTTTGTTTTTGTTATTGTTATTTTTTTTAAAGTCCTGTTCTTGATCTTTGTACTTCATGTAAGAGAACCATAATGTATCAGTGTAGAGTAGGAACTGACGACGGAATGTTATGCTGTTCTGAGTTTTGTACATTAATAAATAAACAAGTGTTGGGATTAGTGCAGCTCCTGGATTAGTGCTATTATTTACACACTTTCTCTATATACAAGATAACATAGGAAGAAAGAAATATCGCCACCTTTTGTGACTTTTGTTGAAGCACTCTTGAAAAGTGCTTACACCACTCCTTACCCCACCTCTGCACGGTACTTTGTGAGACATACGATAGGTACCTTGTTCCCAGATCTCTTTTATTGCAGCTTGCACGAAACACTTGGAACGAAGTTAATAACTGCCCCACGCTCAAGTGAGGAAATGTTGTAATTGAATACAAGTGCAATATTGCACGAAACTTCAGGCGAGTGTAATTTGAAAGAATTTTCAAATGTCTAGTTATTCATTTATTATCTGAGAAAATTACGAGCGCGTGCGTGAAGTGCAAATTAAAAACTAACGATAAATTGGCCTGCTCTCAGCAAATCATTTTTTTTTAGCAATTTTCTCGGTCATGTAATAATACTGAAATACTAATCATAAAGGTGAATTAAACTTAATGTACACATAGAGTAAAACTACCACTCTTAACAATGATGAATTACAAATTCTAAGCTCTTTTAATAAGATAGTGAATTAAACCCCTAATGGAGGCCAATTTGGGCGTGGCTAGTCGGCTAGAGCAAGATACCACGAAACAGCCGCTGTTCAGGAAGGGAGCCCCCACTGCCGGACTCGAGAGACCGGCGGAAATCGAGCCTAAAAACGGGGCCGGGGATACAAAGGCATTTTTTAAATTTCTACTGCACCCTTAAAGATAGTTTGGCAGCTTGCAATAGACGCATTTCGTCATGAATACCCTAAGTGACACCAGAATCATTGATTCCTTCATTTACACTTCTAAGCGAGACGACGAACACCCCTAACCCCAACCTTTTCATTTAGGAGTTCTCCCCCGCCACCCCCCGTGATAAGACGAAGAGATAATTACAGTAGATAACTATTAAAAAGGCCTATTAATATATTCATTATAAATCTTGCAAGCCTTTAGCCTGCCTAGCGGGGACTCGAGTAATAATGGGAGCAAGTTGGAGCGGTGCGACGTGCAGTGAGATCATTCCTTTCCTCTGTGACCAACTCACCTGAAATATCACGTGATGCGAGTGCCAAGGATCTGTACATCCTATTTTTAGAAACATTACATCATTGTGTACTTTTTCACATTTTAAAATTAATTACAATTTTTTTATTACACCGACACTAGAATGTTACATTCCAAAACATTCTACAAATAGGATGTTCTAGACAGTTCCAAGAACGAGACAATATAATAATGCTCATTGCTGGGTAGGGCGTGAGATCTAGTCACGTGACGTTGTCGTTTTCGTTATCGCGGAAGAACAGAGCCTGTTGGTGGATTGTTTTGAGGTGCGAACCTTTTTGCGTAGTTTCTTTTATCTTGTGTGTCAACATGTCGAAAGGACCAGCAGTTGGAATCGATCTCGGTACCACCTACTCCTGTGTTGGAGTTTTTCAGCATGGGAAAGTGGAGATTATCGCGAACGACCAGGGAAATCGAACAACTCCGAGCTATGTGGCCTTCACGGACACTGAACGCTTGATAGGCGATGCTGCTAAGAACCAAGTGGCTATGAATCCTAGCAATACGATTTTCGGTAGGTTTCCATCAATCTACTGATAGAAAAGAGTCGCTCCGAACACTTGTTTCTGAATTTTCGCTTGCGTTCTTTTGCAGATGCAAAGCGGTTAATCGGACGGCGTTATGATGATCCATCTGTGCAAGATGACATGAAACATTGGCCTTTCAAGGTATTTGAACAACATGGCTTAATTTCTTGAATCCTCAGTTGGGATTTTAAGATTTTAAGTCTTTCAAAGAATATATTGGAACGCCGTAAATGATTAGGTATCAATTTAAGTAGCATTTAGCTTACATTTTCTTAATGCACAAGCTGTAAGTTGTTGAATAAGCTTGTCTAGATGAAGTAAGCTAATAATTATTTCCCATTTGATTAAATAGATCATCAACGACTCTGGGAGACCAAAAATACGCGTGGAATATAAAGGAGAAACAAAATCATTTTATGCAGAAGAGGTATTAAAAGGCTTAACTTTTATATGGTGCACCAGGTGATCATATATTGTACTAAATATTATGCTCACTCAGGTGTAGTTTTATTTACGACGCCTAAACTGGGCTGAAGGTCAAGTTTGTCAATCATCTCTTTACATTGGTTACTTATTGGTAGCTGCTTGCTAGGGGTCTGATTGTGTTGTTCAAGAAAAAATGCATACCCCTCCCACAGTAGGTGTTTTAGTTTGAACCCACCCTCCACCCCTCCCCCCATGGAAATTCTGGTTTAGCTTCACACCTTCCTTTAAAAATTTTGGCTTCTGAAACCCTCCTCCCCCTTAGAATTCGTTAACATTTTCTTGGAATGGTTTGGATATATTCTGGAACTGCGCATTACAGGGGCTTAGGACTAGTTGCTCTTAGGAATATGTTATATTTAAATTGTGAATTTATCTTAGCGAATATAGTAATAATTATTGTAAGTAGTATTGTTATTGGAAATAGTCGTGCGTTTTTGTCATGAGCCCCTGGCTCGGGAGATTGGACAACCACTCCCCACGTTTACAACTTAAAGTTACCTTACCCTACCTTACCTTATCTTGATTGGTTGGACTTGTCAACTGGGACTTGTATAAATTCCACACAATCAAGAGTCTGAAGAATTGGCAATAATAGTGTTATTTAGACAAATATAAACAGAGTAAATTGTGTTGTTCAGAAAATATCCATACCCCTCCCATGGAAGGATTTTTAGTTTGAACCCCCAGCCCCTGGAAATTCTGGTCTATCTTTATACTTTTCTTTAAAGCATTGTAAAACTTTTCCCTTAGAATTGTTGGCACGGGTATGGATATTTTCTGGAACTGCACATTATATATATGAAATTATTCAAAGGTCAGCTATGTTTGTCAAAGAATGGTAAAATCTTTGCGTGTATAGCAAAGTTGATCTTCCTTCAAATTGATATTCCTCTGTTTTCCTATCCAGAACAAATTTTTATATGGATTTTACATATTTGCAGCTCAACACAAGTTGTTACTAATATTCATTCATAAATGAATTGATAATCTTCAAATGTGGTCTTTCATGTGCTAAATCATGTACACTCACAGGGTTTTAATGAGGCCAGCAAAAGAAAATTATTTGCTAACTACTTCAAGCAAGATAGTATGTGAAGTACATTCTGTAGGAAAATTTTGATAATCAACATGCAATCCAGCCTCATTTCAAGTTGCTTTCTCGATGAGGATTTGATTCAGGCCATCATTGTTAATTGGCAGTTTGACATCTTTTTCAGATCTCATCCATGGTGTTGACAAAGATGAAAGAAACAGCTCAGGCATATCTTGGCAAAACTATAACAGATGCTGTGGTGACAGTGCCGGCCTATTTTAATGATTCTCAGCGCCAAGCTACCAAAGATGCAGGTAGGTTAAAATATCAATGATCTCATTTGCATTGCGGACCAGCAAACTAGATGAAAACTCGTTTTCAGTCAGCTTCCATATGTAAATTTCCTATATCTCTTTGCTCCTTCACTTTCGATGAAGCTCAATGCTTTTCCCTTTTTTTAAAGGTGTGATAGCTGGTCTCAATGTTCTGCGCATTATCAATGAACCAACTGCCGCTGCTATTGCATATGGTCTTGACAAGAAAGTCGGTGCTGAGCGTAATGTTCTGATCTTTGACCTTGGTGGTGGCACTTTTGATGTCTCTATTTTGAGCATTGAAGATGGAATCTTTGAGGTGAAGTCCACAGCTGGCAATACTCACTTAGGTGGAGAGGACTTTGACAACAACATAGTTGACCACTTTGTAGAGGAATTCAAAAGGAAGTATAAAAAAGATCTGTCAACCAACAAACGTGCATTGCGCCGCCTCCGGACCGCTTGTGAACGTGCAAAGAGAACGCTGTCCTCCAGTACTCAGACTAGCATTGAGATTGATTCACTGTTTGAGGGGATTGATTTTTACACCTCACTAACCCGCGCGAAGTTTGAGTCATTAAATAATGTTCTTTTTGAGGACACCAAAAAGCCAGTTGAGAAGGCCCTACGTGATGCTGGGCTTGAGAAAGGGAAGGTTCACGAGGTTGTGCTGGTTGGAGGATCAACCCGTATCCCAAAGATTCAGGAAATTCTGCAGAAGTTCTTTGATGGCAAAGAGCTCAACAAGAGCATCAACCCTGATGAAGCTGTGGCTTACGGAGCAGCAGTTCAAGCTGCAATTTTGAGTGGCGATAAGAGCAGTGAAGTCCAGGATTTACTGCTGCTTGATGTTGCACCCCTGTCCCTTGGAATTGAGACTGCAGGAGGTGTTATGACGGTCCTCATCAAACGCAACACAACCATACCCACCAAAAAAACTGAGTCCTTTACTACGTATTCTGACAACCAGACCAGTGTTCTTATTCAGGTAATGAGACTTTATAATCTGAAGCAATTTTATATGCTTAGGTTATTGAGTAGAATTCCATACCCTGGACTGTAGGTGACAGGTGCTGGTGTGAAGTACTGCAGCTGGGAAAAGCATCAAATTCCCTCAAATTTAGAATGTGTCAGTGAGTTGGTACAAGGAACTCTAGGACGAGAACTGTGTTTTTGAGGTTGGTCAGTGTCTGTGTCTTTCATACTTTAACCTATGCTGCACGAATATAAATGGATACACATGTTGCCAATAGCTTGGCCTAACATCTTGTCTAGGGGAAAGAGCAAAAGTCCTTCTTCAGTTACAAAGTACTAATTTATTATTTTATGCTCATGTGTCAAAATAGTAACACCAACAGTTGTGTTAGCTGTGGCCTAACTGTCCCTTGTTGTTTTGTCAAGGTGTTTGAAGGTGAGAGAGGTGTGACATCAGGCAACAATTTGCTTGGAAAGTTTGAGCTGTCTGGAATTCCACCGGCTCCTCGTGGGGTACCACAGATTGAAGTCACCTACGACATTGATGCAAATGGCATCTTAAATGTCTCTGCTGTGGACAAGAGCACTGGGCGTGAAAACAAGATCACCATCACCAATGACAAAGGTCGACTGTCCAAGGATGACATTGATCGCATGGTCCGAGAGGCAGAGAAGTACAAAGCAGAAGATGACGCACAACGTGACAAAGTCCAGGCCAAGAATTCATTGGAGAGTTATGCCTACCACATGAAGAGTACAGTGGAGGATGAGAAGGTTTGAACACATATTATTTTTACACAGATTATTTAGAAAGCGTGATGAAACTTTTGCACTTTGTTATTATTTGACGTCATTAGAACATGCAAATACGAACCCCTGTTGCACTGTAGTGTGCTAGTTTGCTTACAAACAAGGAAAATAAAACAGTTGTATTGTAAATTCCTTATTCCATGTTGCACTGTAGGGTCCTGGTTTGCTTAAAAACAAGGTAGATAAAACAGTCATATTATTCCATGGTTTGACAGATGCTCCGCACGAACATTTTATTCATTGTTTGTTTTTCATTGCTTTGTTTGGGCTTGGGAAAATTCTATGTAAGTTGTAGAATATCAGCACATCAATTGTCAAACCATCAAATAAGTTCTGAAACTGGCAAA